AGTACTGATACAAATTTTACACGACTGGGAGAATCATGTATGGGGTACGCAAGCCAGCTGGCGGACTATGAACTGATTCAGTGTCTGAGCCTTTTCTTGCTCGGAAAGTAAATGTCGTCAGCCATTAAACCACATACACTGTAGTTGGTTTGAAGCATTAGAAACAAAACTCTAAATTTTATTGGGTTTCGTTAAATGATTTTTAAGAACTTTTCTGAATTATGGCTGTTATTAAAGTTTGAATCATCACTATTATCGATAGAAGATATTGCGGAGTAGAAATATACCTGTACTTCTTCATGGCTCGGAGAATGAATGTTTCATGTTCGAGCCTGATACCTGTTATAGCCGCTAACCTTTGAATTTTTACAAATTTGCTCTCTGGTGCCAAAAGTAAACCAATATTTTGATAAACCGCAAAAATTTTAGCTTGCTAGTCTTGGATGAATTTTCCGAATAATTTTTCTTGAATAATTTTCCAACACAGTCAGCCAAGACACGCTGCTGCTGAGGCCGGCCGCCACCCCAGCATCTCGCACCAGCGTCGCAAGGTCAGATGTTCGTTGTTCGCTGCTCTCATTCCAGACCTGGGGAGAATCCCGCCAAATTCCCGCCGAACTTTCCAATCTCGCTATAAATCCGGCGGTAATTTCCCAAAATAATACATTAGTGTAAGGATGGCCTGGACCTCAGCGGACATTGAGCGAGACACCGAGGATAATCCTAAATTGCCTTTTGATAACCGTAGCTGACAGGAAAGTTTGTAAGTAAGTAAAGTTGCTGACTTGGGGCCATACTTTCAAAACTGGTTAAGTGAACGTAAGTACTTACGCTCTATTTTCTTGTCTATGATTGGTGGATTTTGCTTGAAAGGTCGTCAATGATTGGCTGATGAACTTACGATCTCCTAACGTTTTTTGAAAGTATAGGCCCTGAGGATTAGATTCTCGAATCAGCGCTAACATTTTTATCTTATAGGACGGCAATTTACATCATTATGAGATACACATGAAAGACAGTAATTATATGGTAAAAATAAAATTAATTAAGTGAGATAGTTTATTTCATCTCAGAGCTCTAGTTTTATAGAACATTTCTTCACCAAGACACGCAAAATGTTGTCCAAAGAATCGCATTTGCTCTTAGAATTAGTCATCTGTGAGGCCGCGAATTTCAAGTTTTGCATTAGCTGGTCAACTGATTTTTTTTAACAATTTCAGGATTTTAATGCATTTGCTAGAGCTCATCTAGCGAAATGTAGCATTTACTCCAAAATTAGATGGAAACTCAATCCTTTATTAAACTAAATAAAGGATCAAATAAAAAAATGTGAAAGCGGAATGGAAGTAATAGAAAATGAAATAAGTAATAAAGGGGAATTGAAACGTTAGGAAGTGAACACTAGAATAATATAACTCTATAAGCATGGTCATAATTAACTACACTAATCTGATTTATTTTTTTGCATTTAGTTTAATTTAGTACGAGATTTAGACAGTGTTTTACTGGATAATATTTACTTCGTATTCGCTGCAAATTAATCTGGATGAAATTTTGAGTTCTATATTGAATAGTTGATTACTGACCTCTTTCTTATATTAAAGTAAATTTAACCATGGTATATTTCTGAATGAAATACAAAATAGGCTAATTACCCTGGAATTATCCCGCTTTATAAGCCATTATTTTTATTCCCTGCTCCAGCTTTTGTATGTCCATGGTGAGTACGTAACAGTTTAAACCAAATCACAGCTATTCAAACGGTAAAAAAAAATACTTTGAATATCCGCTTCAATATTAGATCACAAGATGAATAAGACGTTCTTTGCACTGAATCATCTTGCATACGATAGTTGAACTGAGGTTCTGAAATTAGGCCTTGTCTGATATAATTTATTCTTACAGTAATTATGGAGGATAAATAATTATATATGAGTTACTTTTGACAGCATGGGCGGCCTGGCAGCGCCTGTAGTTCCGTGTACGTACGCATGGTTTGATTGCCATGCTTTCTCATACGATGATTTTCATGCAGATAAAACTTTTAAATTTCTCAAGGTCACCAACATAACTTCAAGTTCATTATAACATTTAATTATTTCATAAGAATGTTTTAGAAGATCAACCATCCTCCTTAGTTTCATATTTTTTTCAAATTCGACGCCTCAAAGTAGACATTTCATATCTCCGCACTACGTCCTCCAATAGTAGTTTATAAATATTTAATGAAAAACTTTGAAAAATTCTAGAATATGATCTAAAGTTACATGATACGTCGTTTAATTTGTACTTTAAAGTCAATTGCTGGCTTTGGTATATGATCTCATTTCAGGCCAAGAAATATTTGATTTTCTCGAAATGTTTCCAATCTTTGGCGCAATTTTTTATAGTATGCAAATCAGATGAGCTCAAGAAATCTATGGATGTTAAAATTGCGATCGTAATTACTGGGTAACTATTAACTAATCACAACACAGTTTGAGGCGGGCGCTCTTTTTGCTACCGTATGAAACTCATTATTTCGATCAGGAAGTAGGGATGGAAGCGAAAAAACGAACCTTGCGAAACGAAACGAAAACGAGGAAACGAATCAAAATCTTGCCGCAGGTTAAGTTTTCTTGAACCGTTCAAAGTATTGAGGAATTAACCGGTTTGGTTTTTAGTTAAAATTGAAATACTTTACTTTAGAGTAGCTATTTTCATTAACTGCAAAGTGTTTTTATCATTTTACAGTAGGTTTCTTCTATTTAAGTATTATATTTCTGGATTCTATCAAAATGAGAGCTTCAAATTTCTAGATTTATTAGAGCACTACATGCCAGCTTGAGCTTCAGGAAAAAATGAAGAAGTGAGCATGATTCTATTTCATTCTATATTGACTTTACAGTTTAACTGAGCACTTCGTAAGTGCTCAAATTCTTAATTTGGAAGTGGAAAACATGGCGTGAGAATAATAGTGATTGTAAATCTTTCGACGGCTGTAAATAATTCCGTGGTGCATTTAAATGCAAAAAAATTTAAATGGAAAAATACATTTTAATGCAGAATTATTATTGATATGCCTACTATTATGCACACAATGTTCCAAATTAGGAGCAATAAATTCACTTCGTGTTTTGAAAACTGTGTGCACCTTTGAAAACATGTGTAAAATAATTTGTAATTTGTATAACTATGTTACAGGTCAGAGTACATCACGTTACAGGTCAGTGCAGCGTACTGATCACGTTACAGGTCAGTATTTATCACATCAGTTCCTTGATAACACGTCTTTTTAACATGTTCACATCCATGAGAGCGAGTAGGTTTAAATAACCTCCCCTTCCCACCCCTCTCCTCAGGACGCCTCTGGCCCTCCCTCTCCCCCATCAGGATGCCTTTACATCCCCCCACCTCCTCCCCGGCATGCCTGAGCCCCCCCCCCCTCTCCCCCATTTCCGGCGGCGACCAGGAACCGACTCCGGTATTCCCGAACGCGGTTCTGGCGGCGACGCGGCATGCGCGTGTGCAACGTGCACGCATTTCTGCGGTTTTTTCTCGCTCGCCTACACGCACTTCACTAGCAAATATTTCTGTGTATTTTTTTGTCTTCCGTGTTAGTTAGGAGAAAAGAAGTTTTTCGTAATATTGATCATTGATGAATGTTTTTATAAAATTAGCACTAAAACAGACTGATTGTGTGTGGTGATAATAATCGCACCAGTGGTGATTATTTGATGCATCATCAATAATTAATTATGTCATTATTGTAAGATGTCCTTAAAATGTAGTTCTCATTGGGTTCAAATAAATTAATTTTATTATATACAAGCCCACATTTGATCCCAGCAATGTATTAATTTAATTTTATTAGATACTATGTTGGCTTTCACTTTCGACGCTGAACGGTAATTCCAGCGCGGCCGGGGCTGAGGCGGCACGGCGCTGACCTTGAGCCAGCATCTCTGAGGCGCCGCGCATACCTCAGCCTATCAGGCCGACATCACATTGCATTAAATATATTTATTTGTCCCTGAACTGAAGTGAACAGTTGCTGTAAAGACACCGTCGCAACGGGAAGAAACATTTCCTATCATATTTCAAGTTCATGTAAGTTTTCTATAAAGGCAGAACGAATTAATAATACGTTTTCTGGACTGTAACGAAACTAACACTGACAGTCTAGCTGATATAGAGGCTGAAGCCAGCCAGCAGTCTCTGCTGCTTAATTAACCACCGACTGTCAAAAATTATGGCTTGACAGAAAAACCTGCTCATTGGCAGTCATTACTTTGCATATCAGGTTATAGTTCAGCGAGACATGTAACTGTAACATGCTACAGCTAAGTACACTTTAACGAAAATACTAGTACGCCGTAGCGAATTATATGTATAGTCAACATTTTACAACTATACATTTGTCTGTATAGTCAACATTTAATACGAGAAGGCCTGTGTAGCGGGATAAAATACAGCCACTTTTTGGGATAAGCCGCATAATATTGCTTCACTCGCGCCAGTTCCTAAATTGCCGGTCTAATTTACTGCAAGTATGTGTGATGAACTTGCCCGTTCCCTGCATTTCTAGCGATGAAAATTGCAATGGCCGCTGTAATATAGAAAATATACGAGCCTCACCATGTAAAAAGGTAAACTTTTCATGACTGCGCGGTGAATTTTTTGTGATTTAGACCCACGTGCCTCAGTGCTGTGCTCTAGAGACTTCCTGGTGGCTGGGGTACATGTGTTAATCCACCGTTGCGCCACCGACTCCGAAAACTTGTTAATGCTTCATTTTGTAGTTAAAGTTATTAGAACTACGTTCAGATAAATTAATGAGAGAGCGATGAAATTTTGGCTTCTATGTAGGTCATCTTGAACTAGTAAGGCCAGACTAATGACCTTCAGTGCTACCTAGAGTAACTGTATCACTATTTGAACAAAATTACTCACCCATTATTTTGAGTGCAGTATTATAATGAATATAATTAAAAGCTTAGAACCAGAATGTTGTCACTCACCACATGCTTGGGAGGTGCACTCCTCATGCCAAGCCCGTCGAGGATCCTGCGCTTGAGGACCTCCTGCTCCCGGAGGCTCCACAGCGGCAGGCCCGCGTCCTCGGGGGGCGGCGCGCGCTTCGGGCGACTCGCTCCTGCTGAGGGCGACACTACGGCGTCGCCGTCAGGATATAACTCGGTGTCATTTAACACATCTGTCTCACGTACACTATCTGGGTCTGTGTTATCATCATACAGATCTGTTTCATGTACGTTACGTGTATCTGTGTTGTCATCATACAGATCTGTTTCACGTACGTTACGTAAGTCTGTATGATCATCGTATACGTCTGTTTCACGTACGTTACGTGACTCTGTATTATCATCGTACACGTCTGATTCATGTACCTTACGTATATCTGTATTATCATCGTACACGTCTGATTCGTCATAATTTTCATTTGGATCACTATGAGCGTTCATTTTAGTATCTGCTTCATAAGCCTCTATTTCACTCGAACGCCCGTTCCCACTGAGAGGAGACATCTCCGCTTCTGCTACGATGTCTGCTCTCGTTCTATGGACGTGTAGGTCGATATTCTGCCCGTCTAATTCATCATCAGAACGTACATTTCGTTCGTGATCGTTTTTACGCGTCACGTCTGTACCCGAGTTATTCACATCCGAGCTCGAGACGACAGCTTGTACGTCACCTGCGAGAACGTCGTTAAAGGTACGTTGGTCGCTGGTCGCGACGTCGTTGTCAGTATTGTGATTATTTAGTAACGTTTGGTTTGTGTGATTAACGTCTCGGCTCAGAGTAATCATAGTACGAGCCAAGGCAGGTCTGTAACTACACATTGGAATTAGTATGAGACTCACTATTAGAAACTTCATTAGTAATACGATTGCACCATTGTATCTAGAACTGCCAATGCAATTATTTTCCAACTGTAACTCATTACTTCTACGTACACAGTTACAAGCGGCACAATTACAACTGCTAACACCATTTGACTTAACACAATTAGTAGTATTATCTCTCGCACAGTAATACATTTTGCTCGACAGATACATCGGTATTTTTTCATCACACTCAAGCTGTAATTTTGTCATTGTATATTTAATGGTAGATTTTCTGTGTTCAACTGAAATAAGAACATATAATTCGCAGGAAACACCATAGATTTTGGGCACACAACACACCCGACGCACACTCGCGGCAGCCTGACACCGACATGCGCGGGCTTTGCTCAGCGTTGCACGAGTGAACGTTGACACCGAGTGGCGCCGCTTTATATAGCGGACGACGACCTGTGCATGGTCTACCGCTCTGCATCTGCGTGACCAATAGACCTAATAATCTTATGTTGTCTCTTGTAACTTATAAATGGGCTGTTGGAGTTTTGTATATTTTGTGAATATCCCCCGGAGACCTGATAATCTTATGTTGTCTCTTGTAACTTATAAATGGGATGTATATTTTGTGAATATCCCCCAGTTGGGGTAATATTATTATGTATGTTGCGTTAGATTTTCACGAGATGTATTAGGATTTTTTTTAATTGAATTATATGATATGGGATTGAATTGGACGGGGAAGGTGAGAAAATAAATTTTTAAGAGAGACATGCATAGCGCGGCATGTTTTTTCGGTCAAAGCATAAAATGAACTTTGATGTAACATAATGAAATGTTTAGTAGACTTGAAGGCATAAGTACTAATCAATACCCAGGATTCAATAGAAGAAATTGCCTTAATTGCGTAAGTATGAGTGAAATATGTTGAACCCAACGAATTAATTCATAAAGCTGTTGAGTATGTACACGTTTTAGGCTTATCTAATTAAGAAGTAAATGATTTATGAAAAGATGTTAATGATTTTAAATATCATTCAGACGTTACGAAATTACGCCAATGGATATGTTATTGGTTATCCAAGTCGATAATGACGGTAAAGTTCTGAAAGTTGCATGCAGACAGGAAGAACTTGTATCACTTTATTGCGTTGCAGCCTCTACATATTTCAAAAGTTTTACTTTTGAATGTGTGTGAAAACAACTGTCGCAATACTTGCTTTCTACCAAAATATGATGAAATATGTAATTTAGATAATCTTAGCACAAATGTAAGCCTAAGTGCTTACTCTGAACATTAAAAATTAATGAATTAATACCAGAAGAATTAGAATTTATAACTAATAAAGCTAGGCGTTGTATATCCGTAGACTTAAACTCGTGCGGTGGGCAGGCCCAGATGCACGAGTGCCCCCCTGAGCTGTGGTACAGACGGCGACTCATGCTTGGAGAAGAGAGGAACATTCAAATTAAGAGACAATTTGTAATCTGTATATTTATACAAATATTTTGGAAATTGAATTTCCTTTATTCATTCTATTGGGAATAGTTCACTAACTGCAATATATTTCTATTGCAGCTCCTGGGAATGAATGACTCATTGCGAGCTCCGTGCAATCAATCAGATCTTCTCAACTGGTGATACTGATAGCTGGTCCGATGATGAACTTGTCTTTATCCAACAGTGGGTTGCTGATGGGAGGAAGGGCGTCTACTGGTGGGTGCTAGCGTAGGGGAGAGTGTCCATCGGTGGGGCAAGCGTTGGGGAAGGTGTCCATCGGTGGGCGCAAGCCTAGGAGAGGGTGTCCGTCGGTGGGTGTAAGCGTAGAGGAGGGTGTCCATCGGTGAGTGCAAATGAAAAGTGTGTATAATCGTTGCGAACCTCGATGAAGGAATGCCATCAGTTTGGTACTAATATGTAAAAGCAGGTCCACCATTGAAAGGCTACAAATTTGAGCTGTCCACTATTTTGAAAATTTTATACGTCCTATTTTCCAAATAGTGACATACTTTACACACGTAGAACTGGTGCGCCTTCTTGCCGGACCAAACTGGGTCATGCAGGATGACCCACTCAAAGGCACAAAATACATCACCATTTGGACAATGTCTCATCATTCATGTCAAGGTCTCATCATTTATCTCTGGTTGGCAAACGGATGATGCCCGTTGGTGCGTGTAGTATTTTCTTTTCTATTAACCTTCGCAAAGGTGCCGGGCTCGGTCTTAAAACTTGCTAGAGATTATAATCAGCACTGTCAGTGTCGTCATGCACTCAGCTCTCAATCCCGATTTATATGTCAAATTACGCCCGTTGTTTACTGGCGTTGAAAGTCAAAATAATTAAATAACTTAAAATCCCCTTATGAAGGTAATCTAAATCCATCATTCCATAGATTCCTGCGAAATAGGAATTTTGGTAAAAGTACCGGTCGTACTTTTACAAAATTTGCTCTCAGTTTCAAAATTACCAGTTGAAGTTATACTTAAAAACATCTTTTCGCAGCGCCTGGTCGGTACCAATAAATACTCCGCCTGATATAAACCTGTCAATCAAGAGGTTGGGACGAGCGGAGCCTTGCGAGACTTGATCTCGGCTCACTGCTTAGCTTGCCTTGGATGTGCTTGTAATTACTCGTATATTTCAAGGCATATTCAACTTGTAGGTAATTCTCACGGTGAGCATGCGAATTTATTGTCATATATGTCGAGAAAATTATCATGATTCATGATAATTATCATGATTCATGATAATTATCATGATTCATGATAATTATCATGATTCAACACATCAAGTATAATATTATAAAAGGCTTATATGTTTGATTATTCTCCGTTTGAAAAACATTTTTGCTGGCAAAAGCAATACCAACTTCACGCCTTGGGTAATTTTCTGCAAGCTTTCAACAAAGCTATAGGCAACCAAACGAATGAAAATGTTAAATGAAACAATATTTAAAACCAAATTTCTCTACAAAATTAATCGAATTAGTTTTTAAATATATACTAAGAAGGAGGCCTACTTGAGAAATAACCATTGCTTGCGTGAAAGAACATCTCTTAAAGCTGAAGAAGAATTTACAAAATTTCAGGGTTGAAACGATGTCCAAGGGCTGTTTCTTTTTATTATATTAGCCGTACTTATAAAAATAAACAGGAAGTTTGCAATCAAACACGCAGGTACTGAACCATTTGTTCATTCGAGTGATCATTGAAATATTCTGTAGAAAGTAACTCACACGAGTCATACACTACTAGCAGGGCCCCAATTACGTGCGTTTGCAATTAATATAGGCTCACAAATGGGAAATTTAAAATTGACCTAAACTCTCAAAATTCAGGAAACTTCAAAAAATAATGTCTTGGAATCCCATTACTTCGGAACAAACGTAATCAACAGGTTATTTAATTGGAGCTTTGGACATGAGGCGCTGGAGCGGTCAGAAGCGAAGTGTCGACACGCGCCTCCTGATTGCTTCTCTTCGACTCAACACATAACAGAACAAACTCCTGCATCTCCTGAAAATTTCAGTATCACATAGCGAGCGACAAAAATTTCCTACAGAACAAAAGCTGTAGTAAGTTAAGTGTGAGAGTTTACATGCATTCCACACCACACAAATATATTGAGGGGAAGGTGGAATGGAATGGGTTGTACAAGTAACTTTTTGCATTTTAAATAATTATAGGTATCAAGTGAAACGCCTGCATGAAATGTGTAAAGAAGAAGTTCTTTTTATCTATGAGGTTCAATTGTTGTTGGTTATTTAGGCAGTTTAATTGGAATGTCTCTCTAACATAAGTCACGTGCTCGTTTGCCAAAAAAAGTTGAAGAAATCAAGTTTAAAGACTTACCTATGTAAATAAATATGAATAAATTTTTTACACATCAAATGAGTTTAGCTCAGATATTCATCTTAAAAAAAATATTTGCCAAAGGAAAATGTTTTCTTGAAAAATCACTCGATTATCAAATTGAATTTGAAATAAATCGAACGATTGAGCCCGGTTGAAATCCGCGAGAAATTGTCTTGGTTTTATTAAATAATATAATAAATGTTTTATTGTTGGAAAAGTACTATGAATACAATTTTTTCTTTGAGTTGGGGAAGATACAATATGAGTTGGCAGATAACCGATAACTGATATCCATCCGGTCACGAGATTGCATTTTTGGGAAACGGACGAAGAAAGGCCGTGTCGTGAGCGACTCGGCAATGTTGGAACTTTCCAAATTTGGATAAAAATGAAACCCAAATGTTTTAATTTTTATAAAATTAATAGATCCGTTAGAAAATTGAAAGATTCAAGATAACATGCATCATTTGTATGCACCAGATTTATTTTTTCAACAGTCATGTGCACCTTATTTATTTTTGTTAGAAAAATAACTGTAATCATAAATTAGGATGAAATATTTGAATATGATCAAAATTATAAATTGTTTTACTTACCACGGAAACGCTTTCCAGGTATTACATTTCATCAAGATTCATTTAGACTTTTAAACTTCACCAACTCATTCTTCAGTTTTAGCTTCAACTCATTCACTAATATTAAATATTTGCTGCCTATAGCCTGGTGATCCTGGGAAAACATAATACAGTTCCTCGGAACCTAAGAATTTTAAACCAAATATTGTTTGCTCGTATGAAGTCCTCCAAAATTCACTTACAAATGTTAGAAAATTGTTTCGATCCAATTGTGCTGTAATGACCTTGACGGAACTTCCAGACTCGAAGCCGGACCAAAATTTCTGCACGAATCTCATACAAAAAGTAACACCTCATGAAAGTCTCTTTATGAAATATTTCTTAGTAGAAATGTTCCCCGTTTATAATCAGATGATACAGTAATGATGACCGATACAGGAATACAATTGTTAAACATTTACATTCGGAAACCATTTGTGAATTATTTTCACATGAAATTAGACAGGGTAAAGGCGATGGTTTGCGTCATTGTTTAAA